GGCGAATGGGGGGGGGGGGGGCACTGAGGAAAAGGTCTTTGCTGATGGGAAAGGAGGCATTAAGACAGATCTGTTGCTTTACAGAGTAAACACACTTTGGGGGCCATTAAAATGTTACACACTTGCCTTTTCCTACCCAAATCTTTAAATCTTTGTAGACACTGCACAGACTCTTGTTCAAAATAGTTGCTGTCCCTTCATTAAAATGTAAAGTCCATAATCTGCTCTTCCTCGCAGGTCAGAAAGTTACATAGCATAGGCTCAGGGGCGTCCTTACACTTTTTGCTGCCTTTGGCATTGGGGGAGGGTGATGCTGGCAGTGCACGTTTTTGGGGGAAGGGGGTGTTTTGGAGGCGCATGTTGCCATGGCGGGAGGAGGGCCAGGGGGTGGTGCCTGGTACCTCTGTCCAGCATCCCGTCCAGCTTACTGACATCATTGGTTGCCAGGAGCTGGACAGGACGCCAAACAGAGCATCACAGGTTGCTATGAGCTCCTAGCAACTTGGGACGCTTTAGTCGGAAAGGTCCCCACATGACTCATTGAGATGCCACCTGAGGCAACCCCTTCAGGCTGCCTCATTATAGGGGGAGCCCTGCATCAGCTTCAGTTAGCACCCTCCTTCTGACCCTGTGAGGTGCTGCCTGGGTTCTGGTTGTAGTGAATTACAGAGAACTAAGATTAAGGTATATTGAGGAGACTTCCTGATTTTAGCAAAATACATACACATAGTGAATGTCCCTGTGTGCTTGGAGTTAAACTTAGCATGTTAGTTGTCAGATATATACATTGTATGGGGTTCATTCTGGGTAGTGTGTTACTAACCTTTTTTTACCTTCTAGATACCTATTACCTGATAACAACAAATCCACAAAGCACAAAACATCTATCATTAAAAAGTCAGTGAATCCTCAATGGAACCACACTTTCTCCTTTACAAGTCTAGAGCCCAGTGACTTGCAGAACATTTCTCTGGAGCTGACAGTATGGGATAAGGAATCCTTGACAAGCAATGTTTTTCTGGGTGGAGTATGTCTGAGTTGTGGTAGTGGTAAGTAACCAAGCATACATCTACTATTTTGTTGTGTTCCAAGTAAATGATATGTAAGTAGATGTGTGCCCATTCCATAAACAGGTCATTTAGAGTAGTGGACTGAATTCAGAAAGGGGAGATTTGCTATAAAGTTCTGCGTAAACCGATGGTGCTATAATAATAACATTTAGAAATGTTAGCTATACCTAGAACAGGACCTTGAGAAAATGTACCATTTGTCCTCCAGAAAATTAGAAATGCACTTCCTGGTATGTTAGGGTGTCTAGGAACTCTTGTGCCTACAGCTTCAAAGCTGGAAATGTGCAGTGTAAGAGATAAAAGTTTAAAGGGAACCTGTGCTTTGCCCATGCATACAAACCTTTTCTGTTCTCCCCCCGCCACTCTATTTGGTCACCTACATGTATGTGGGAGCATGTGATTCATGCCTCTGCCTTCCATGTGACAGCACTTGTGATAGGCAAATAAAAAATAGAAACATGCAGAACTAGTCTCTTTTTGCAATCACAACCAAACTAAATGTATCTTTGATTAAATATAAAACATGTACTATATGTGCTTAATATATCTCAAATTTCCTATGTGTACCGTGAATATTAATCCAATTTACAAATAACAAACGTGCCATTATCTTTATATACGAACATACATAGATGAACAATAAATTGCAGCAATGCAACAATAAATCACATGCAAATCATGTAAATTATACTAATAAAGTGCTGCAAAATATTTACAGTCACTAATAATACACAAAATATGAACGTCCTTGTGACTACAGTAATCCCCCACTGTGTGACTGCACCATAAACATTGAGGGGAATTTATCAAAACTGGAGCAGCCAAAATGTGTAGCACCTGTGCACGGCAACTAATCAGCATCAGCTTCTATCTTTCATTTTCAAATCTTAACTGATCAAACTGAAGATAGAAGCTGATTGGTTGCCCTGCGCAACTACTTCATATTCTGTCTGCTCCAGTTTTGATAAATCCCCCCCTTTGTTTCTTCCATCCCACACTGATAGTCCTCAGTATTCTTCGCTATGTGTCAAAGACCCATATGGAATCACACTCACCCCAAATTCTGACCCCCTTTTTACAGGAAGGGTCACAAAACACAATTCCATCTATTAGTAAAAGTCATACAAGAAGTTATTTGAAAGAAGTCTCCAAAAGCATTCATGGAGAATAAGGATATTGTAATACTGTTGTCTTATAGTGTAGTATTACCTCTTTATTAAAAGCATAAAAACAATACAAATCACTCAAAATGTACTGTGATCAATCCAGTACTTAGATCATACTGCTCAACAGTGGGTGGGAAACGCCGTGCCACAGTCAGCCAACTATCTGTGCGCACAGACATCCCATCAGAAGCGCGATTATGTCACAGTGTTTTCCCCCTTCTACGCGTTTCATCTCCAATATGTCCTAAGGAGCGTCCAAACACTGTTATTCTAAGTAGCCTATGTATCATATTCAGAATCTATTAACTCATTCAATGCTTCACGCTGCTATACTGAATTCAATGCTGCACACTGCTATACTGGTTACATAGTTATTATAGTTCTAAACAGAACGCTATGCCCACAGTTACCCACTGTTGATCCAGAGGAAGGCAAAAAACCCTATAAAGCATGGTTCAATTTGCTCCAACAGGGGGAAAAAATTCCTTCCTGACCCCATAAGGCAATTGGATATTCCCTGGATCAACAATCTCTGGTGCTTAATATACCTATAAGAACTCAATATCCAGTAATATTCTGTGCATTTAGGAATACATCCAGATTTTTTTTTTAAACAATTAACTGAGCTCGCTAGAACTAGCTCCTGGGGGAGTCAGTTCCACATTTTCACAGCTTTAACTGTGAAGAATCCTTTCCGTATGCAAAGGTTAAACCTCTTTTAATCTCTCTATCTATGATGTTAGGCAAATGGCCACAAAGGAACACAAAGCTGTTACATGGGCTGAGGAGAGAATTCTCAGAAATTAGAGCTGTCACAGAGCTTCCACTCCGCATTCCAGGCAGCTGAATGGAGCAGTGGTGGAGCAAAGAAAAGGTATGTGTAGCTAATAGGACCAGACTTAAAGGGGTTCTAAACCCTTCGTTTTTTTTGCCTATATCTACTGCTAGCAAGCAGTAGATATAGGCAAGAAGTTTAAAAAAAAAAAAAAAACGCTTGAACTGGTTTTAAACTTACCTCGTTATCGCTGCTCGCTCCCGCGCCGAGAAGAATCAGGAAGTGATCGTACGGCCGGGAGACGAGCAGAGACACAAGGTAAGTCTATGGACGCGTGCACCCGCCTGCAGACACCGCTGGATCGGAGAGACAGAGCAGTCAGCGCTGGATCGGAGTGACGCCGCACCGCTGGAGGGACACATGAAAACATGGGGAAAGAAGAGGAAGATCAGAATAAGAGACATCATTTGAGGTAAGTGCTAATATTTACATGGGGGGAGGGGAAAAAAATTTGGCTTTAATGTCACTTTAAAGTGAACCTGTTCCTTGGTCCAGCATGGGAAGTGCCAACGAAGGTTGCAAGATCTCTCCTATGTGCCGGAAGTATAACAGAGTTACAGGTGTTGCCCATGGCCCCTTCTGTGTTTGGGGCTTGGGAACCCAGAGCAACCCAGAGTAACAGAGCTCACAGGTATTTTAAAAGCAAAAGTCAAAAACATACAGTGTTATTCACTAAAGGGTGAAGAGTTTGGAGAAGGCAGGAGAAGTGAACAATCTAGGACAACATAGCTGAACTGGAAGCATTCTCCAATTCAGCTCACTTTCTAGTTCAGCTATGTATTCCTAGATTGTTCACTTCTCCTGCCTTCTCCAACTCTTCACCCTTTAGTGAATAACTCTGACAGAGTTGGCATAGTTTAATATCGTTCAAGATTTAGGGGTACCAGAATTATTATTCTTTGCAGTCTTAAGCTTACTGATTTTCAGGAAAGAACTTGATATGTGGATTTGTTTATGCTTTAATGATGCGTCGCTCGTCTTAAAACATAATGTGCAGTGTCAGAAAATAAAAGGCTTGAGTATGATTCTGAGTGGAGTTCCTGGCATGTTACATAGTATTTGAGGTTGAATAAAGACATTAGTCCATCAAGTCCAACCTATTAAGATCTCATTCTAGGAGTACCCGTACCCCTGTATATTACGGTCCCTTAAGAAATCGTCCAAAAGTTTCTTGAACAATTCCACATTATTTGCTGAAATCACCGCCTGTAATGTAATCTGCTAAAGGGCATCACACCGTGCAGACATCTTCAGTCTCCATTGTAATCTCCTTTAAAGTTAATTTCATGGATGTTTAATTTGATAGCAGCTCAGCTGAAGACTTTGTAATCATTCATCTGTGAAGATGTATACCATTGTAATTATTGTAATTAGCTTATGAGATGCCACAGCTAACAAAAACAAATGGATGCATTGTTTTGCATTTCAGGCAATTTTTCTAATATCCGTTGCTGCAGTTTTACAAAATGATTTTTGATATCCATTATGCGGTTTTATTAAATGAGCTAATCAATGTTCTCATTTTAATTACAGCTGCAGTATTATTTCAGCAGAAATGTTTAGCCTAAAGAGAATGTACTGTTAAAATTAGGAGCTTTTTGGTTTTGTATTTTTTCAAGATGTTTCTTTTGACAATAATTTATAAGGAATAATGCATGTGGCATTTCCTATATTGGGTAGCAAAGTGGCTTAGTTATTTTCGCATGCCTGCCTTGCAGCACTTGGGTTCTCAATTTGAATCTTAACCAGGACACTGCCTGCATGCAGTTTGCATATTCTTGCTTTTCTTGCATTGGCTTCCTTCAGGTATTCTAGTTTCCTCCCACACTCCAAGGACATGCTTGTAGGTTGATTGGCTCCTGTCTAAATTGGCCCTAGTATCTATATACAGTATGTGAGATAGGGACCTTAGATTGTAATCTCTTTAAGGGCAAGGACTGGTGTGAACGTACAATATGTAAAGTGCTGCATAAATTGTTGGTGCTATATAAATACCAGTAATAATATTGTTTTATTAACAATTTCTCTGCTTAGCCAAATCTTTCCTTTGCATGGGAGAATGACTGGAATTGGTTAGCAGAATTTAGTCTAGCAGGGCAGGAGACCTGATTTTTCCTCCTTTAGCTAAAGGAGGACTATGAAAATCACTGTCACGCGCCGGCTCAATAGATTAGGAAGTGAATGAACGCATACCGTCACTCACTCACTTCTCGATCATGATCCTGCAGAGAGCTGTGACTGTCAGTCACGGCTCCCCACTGGAATTCCCGATCCGATTCTCCATTGAGGACTGGAGAAACAAATGGGGGGGGGGGGGGGTACAGCTGCTTCTGCCTCTAAATAGGCAGAGCCAGCTGTCACTCACGCAGCTGTGTGGATCTCGACAGTAATGTCAAGATCTGTCCCGGCTGCGGTGGTCCCCGTATACCGCAAACTATAGCTTGCGATATACTGAGCTTTGGGTCACTGGAGGATGCTACTTTATGTCCTCCCGTGACCCTTTAGAGAACTATGGGGAAAAACACTTAACCCATAGTTCTCTTTTTAGTAACACTTACAGGTCTTGTCCTTCCCTCAGCCCATGATTGCACAGCGAAAGAAGGAACAGCACAAGAGTTAATCTCTCTGTTTCTCTGTTCCCTCCTAATGTCAGCATGTACCCAGCCTGAGCTCTGCTGTGCAGAGATTGCTAGAGGTTAATTCCAGATCAAATTTAGGTACTCACACTGCTAGCATTTCAAATGCATTTAATTATATATTTTGATTCCTTTTATTTTAATTATTTTAGAGCTGAACACTAGGCAGATATAAAAGACACAAATGAATACTGCTCTGTATTCATTATCACATCCTTAAATGTATTTGTTAATTGCAAACAGTACCTGAATCTGACTTATTATGAACCTTTTGCAATTGACTCTACAGCACAACTCTGTATGGGGGAGCGAGAGGCAGCACAAGAAAGCATTCTGAGTACACAACTGGAAAAAAAGAGATCTCATTGGGGAGTGGTAGAGGAATG